AGCCGGGCCCTCAATGCTGCCTGACAATCCTACCAGGTTGCCTGAGCGCTTTCTAAACCTTTTTCTAGAATGGCTATCTCAAGCCTTCACTTTCCTCAAATCTCTCTTTTTTTTTTTAAAGAAATGTTATCATTTAATCTGATGATAATAGAATTAGAGAAGACTTTTACTTTGTTTTATTTTGCTATCTTTATTTGCTATAGTGTCCAAGTATTACTTCTTTTTTTTTTTTTAATTTTTTTTGTAGAGATGGTGTCTTGCTATGTTGCGCAGGCTGGTCTTGAATCCTGGCCTCAAGCGATCCTCCTGCCTTGGCCTCCCAAAGTGCTGGGATTACAGGTGTGAGCCACTGTGCCTGGCCCACTTTTCTCAAATTTCTAACTTGCCTGTCATGCTCGGCAGACATTACTTCCTAATTCTTAGGAGACCAAAATAGTTATTTGACCTGAACTCCTTAAACTTCCTTTCTTAGGTTCACTTTTTTCTCTTAAAACTCCACTGAAAGAAGAGTTTGTGAGTTCCACAGAAAGCAAATATATTTTAAGTGGTCCTAGAGACCTTCAAAATTACCTCCATCCTCAAGCTTCATCCTTCCCTCTACATATGTGATTTTTTTCTTTTACCCCAATTACAGCGGATACAGAGCCCCTCATTGCAAAGTGAATCCATCCACTAGCATGGCGGACGCCGTCCTCGCCTGCCTTGCCAGGGACCTCGCCCTCTCCCCCGACTCCTGCTCTTCACTCTTTTCAGTCTTTCCCTTTCTACCAGCCCCTTCCCATCAGGACTTTGCTGTGGCTTTTCATTCTCTTAATGGCGTCCTTTTTTATGCTCAAACCATTGCAAACTTGCAGGAAAGCAGCAACAAGGTACAGAAAACTCCTGTGTACCCTCCCCCAGAGACCTCCACTCAGGTTTCAGCAGCTGCCCTGATCACATTATCACAAAAAGATCACACGCGCCGCACCCAGTTGCTGCATCTCTGCAGGCTCTTCCAAAGTGGAACAGTTCCTCAGTCTTTCATTGACAGTTTTGAAGACTGCGGTAGATGTGAAGATTTTAGCAAATGGGAATGGTCTGTTGCTTCCGCGTAATTAGGTCCAGGTACCTGCTTTTGGCAGCACAAACAGAAGTGATGCTCTGTTCTTCTTGTGGCAGCTTATCAGATGGACACCATGTCACTTTGTCTCATTGGTGATGATAATCACTTAATCAAGACAACATCTAGTAGGTTCCTTCACTATACTGTTTTCTCCATTATAATTAATAGACATTTTGTGGAGCGACGCTGCGAGGCTATGGAAATAGCCCATATTTCATGCTACTTTGCCCTCTCGTTTTAGTGTCTCCTCACATTTCTTACCCGAATTACTTGTAACTATGCTAGTAGTCAAACGGTTATTTTTCTACTTCCATCATTCCTTCTACATTTATTAGTTGGCATTTCACGTCAAGGAATAACTTTCCTTTTCTTCCCATTTATTTATTCATTTATTTCTTTATACCAGTGCACACTCAAAAATTTTTCTATTTTGTTCAATGGGTTATAATGCTTTACTATCATTATTTATTTTAATGCTCAAATTTTCCCAGATTTGGCCAGTGGGAGCCCCAGTATGCTGGCTCCTGTGTTCTTTCAAAGTGTCAGTCACTCTTGAGTGCCTCCTCACTTCCTGGCACAGCAAGATATTCCAGGCCCCAGCCTTGGAATCAGTCATTTCTCCAAAGGCCCTGATTCCTTTTAGTAGAAAGTGGTATTCAAAAATCAAGCTATGGGAACTAGCTCTATTCATTGCTACTAGAGTGCCACTCTTTCTAGGAGCCGGGAAATGTGTGGAAAAGAACTAGGAAATGTGTGTGTGTGTGTGTGTGTGTGTATTTCTATATCTATTGATATCTACACGTACTACAATTCATACATTCACCGTATCTGCTTCTTCTCCATCTGTGAACAGGCTGGCTCCCATTACTCCAATATATTTACTTATCTATTCAGTTGGTTGTATGTAGCCGATCTCCTGACCCCAACCGGCCACCCTGACCACATGGCTCAGGCATGGTTCCCAAACAAACATTTTCTTAGAGTTGCCTGTATTCACCGTCTCCATTTCTCCACCTTCAGCCATTCCTCGACCCACTGCAATTCGATTTTCATTTTGGTCAAAGTGACTAGTCATCTCCTGGCTGCCAAATCTGGAGGATCTTTCTCAATTCTTTTCTAACTTGAGCTCCCTCACAGCATTTGACACTCTTTGCACATGCCCTGCTTCTTAAAATACTCTCTCCCTGTGGCATCTGTGACTCCCCCACTCAAACTGGTTTTCCCTCCACTTCTTCAACCCTTCCTTCTTAGATTGTTCTATGCGCCACTCTCCCCCTCCCACCCTTACTTGTCATGATTCCCTGGGGCCCACCCTAGCTCTCCTCTCCGTGCAGCCCCTGAGAGAGTTCATCCCCTACCATGGCTACAAGGAACTGTATTCGGCTGACTCACATATCTGTATCCCTAACCCAGATCCAATTCCTAAGCTCCTATATAAGGAAATGCCCATCAAACATTATTCCTTGGGTATCTCTCAATCACTCCACACAAAATGCATCTAACAATGAAATAATTTCCACCCTACCCCATCTCCCAAACCTGTTCTTCTTTGTGAGTAATTCAACTCAAAGAACAGAACTGCCATCTGTTCAGCAGCCCAAACCAGCAACTGAGGGAACATTCGTAACTCTTTCTTTTCTCCCACCCCCATATCATCAAGCCTGATATGTTAGCTCTTGCATTTCTGTTTCCTGAGCAATTCTTTGAGCTGAGCAAGCATCATTTTGTGCCTGGATTACCACCACAGTCTTCTAACTGGCGCTCCATTCTTGCCGTTCTTCCAATCTGATCTACACAATCTTTGTAAAATCCTTAAAATCCTTCCTGGAATCCCACTGCTTTGGGGACAGTGCTCGTTCCTTCACATGGCTCACCAGGCCCGCAGGAGCTTGCCCTAGCCTACCTGCACAACGTCATCACCTGTTCTTCAACTCCAAACCCAACAGAGCCACACTGAAACTTCTCGCACTTCCACAAACACGCAATATTCCTTCGAGTCTCTGGGCCTTCATATATTCTTTCCCTTCTGCCTCTTTCTACACTGCTTGGGCAAATTCTACTTATCCCTCAGACATAGGTGTCACCTTCTCCAGTAATCTTCCCAGAATGCCCCTGCTCTGTGCCTCCACAGTGCTCTCCGTACCTCTAGGGTGCTCATCTCGCGCTATTGCGATGGCTCTTTTAATGATTTCACCTCCCAGGCAGATCATTAGCTCCACTAAGGTCTCGGAGAGAAATGGAAGCAGCGTCTCACTCACAGCTCCAGCACCAGGGCCCAGCAAAACAGCCGAAACACAGCACCGGAGCCCTAAGTATTCGCTGAATGAATGAGCCACCAAAACAACCACCTCGAGGGGCAGCCACAGCCAAACAGCACATTCCACACGTGCACGGACGCAAGGCATGGGGCGGAACATCTTCCTTCACGCCCGCTGCTGCTCAGTTGGAAAGCTGGCATCTTTGCGGGTAATGAAAAATGATGCAACAATATTAGCCCGAATGGAAAAAATATTATTTCCACAAATAGAAAAAAAAGTGTTTCTTCTTTCTCTACAGTAAATGAGAATGGCTCATTAATTTTTCCATTTTCATGAAGACGACACGGGCAGTTCAACATGTGAGCAAGCACATGCCCTCTGCTAGGAGGGTGAGCACACGAGTGACTGCTCTGGCCCTTTACACGGGTCCAGGACATTCTCTCTGTATACGTGTACACGCACACACTCACACATGCACACACACACATGCACACACTCACACATGCACACGCACACACATTCACAGTGTCTCAGAAAGTATGTAGTAGGACTGAACAAAAGAAAAACAGGAAATGAGCTCCTGAAGGACATACCCTCAAGCTCAGCCTGTTGTCTGGCCCACAGGAGAGGTGACACCGGAGTGCAACCCCCAGCCAGTTGTTAACACCAAATATCGGTGCTGGGAAAAGAAGGAAATCTATGAGGAAGATTAATACCCTTTCTACTTTCTATACACTATAAGCCAAAGCCAAGTTATCTCATTTTTACCGTCCCTGTTTTACATATTTTGAGATTGAGTAAGTAGCTGATAGCTAACAAGTAAGAAAGACTAGTTCTTTCCAATTCTTAGTGCTATATCCCAAATTGGGCAGGAGGGAAAAATTAGAAAACACCAGTAGAAGCATCTTATTTAGAAAAATGAGAAGAAATAAGTAAACATTAAAAATTATTGGTTCAGGCCAGGCGTGGTGGCTCATGCCTGTAATCCTAGCACTCTGGGAGGCCGAGGTGGTGGATTGTTTGAGCTCAGGAGTTCGAGACCAGCCTGAGCAAGAGCGAGACCCCATCTCTACCAAAAATAGAAAGAAATTAATTGGACAACTAAAAATATACGGAAAAAATTAGCCGGGCATGGTGGCGCATGCCTGTAGTCCCAGCTACTCGGGAGGCTGAGGCAGGAGGATCGCTTGAGCCCAGGAGTCTGAGGTTGCTGTGAGCTGGGCTGATGCCACAGCACTCTAGCCTGAGCAACACAGTGAGACTGTGTCTCAAAAAAAAAAAAAATTATTTGTTCTGGGGAGTAGGAATAGGAAGTGTTGGGCAAAGGATCTTATTTTTCATATGAACCTTCTAGGAATATTTGAGCTTTAAAATGATACATATGTATTACTGTGATATAAAGTATAATTTAAAAGCATAGCAGGAGAATATTTATTGACAAATAGTATATAAAGTCTGATCCAATAAAAAATATAAATATTCACAGATACAGAGAAGCTTTTGAATGTTATTACTAGAGATTATCTCTGAGTGGTGGGGTTATAAGAGTTTTGTTGGTTTCTTCTTTTCCTACAAAGATCTGTACGCTATTTGAACAAGAAATATAATTTGTCACAAAATATTTTAAAGTGCTTACTTACCTTTGCTGATTTTTCAATATTTAAGCCTCTATCTAGTTCAAAAAGAATTGTCATGTTGTACCCAGTCTGGTTTCCATGTCCACGAGGCCACCAAGTTCCTATAGTAATATTCTTTTAAGACAGAAGGTAAGTCATTTTAAGTAATGTCATATTTGTAGCAAAATAATATGGTTCAGAGCATTATATCAATTTCTCATATAGTCAAGCACAGAAACTCTAGGTTCTAAAACAATATAAATCTCCCTATCTATATTACGCCGAATCATACCAATCCATTGATAATATTTTAAAATCAACATGCAAGGAGTTTAACATACATTAATATATCAAAAGGGAAAGGAAAAAACAGAATAACAGGGTGTTCAGAAAAACAACTCTTCCCATTTCTAACACTCAAACTTATATTTATTCTACACTCTTAACACTTAGAATTCTTCTTTCAAGCCAAGATCTAGAAATCATTTTGAGTTTTCCTTTATCTGAACAGTTACTGAATGTTATTTTGCTCCATCCTTTTCAGTTCACAATCATCAGCTGGAGGAGCAGGAAAAGGAAGAAGCAAAGGTAAAATCCATTCCACTTCAACCTATGAGTTTAGAATCAGAATTTTCCATGTAGAATAAGCACCAAGATTCAAATAATTGACAAGTACCAAAAATAATTGCTGCTATTTAACTATACTGCATAGAATGTATTTTAGATTCAGGATACTACAAATACTGTACAAAAAATTAAAATATCATTATAAATAAAACAAATGAAAAGGTTACCAAATAAATCACATAGTCTCAATTTTCTTAATCTTACAATTTGGGGAAAATCATTCTTTATCTCACATTCAAACTAAATATATGAGAGGTTAAAAATAGAGGAGAAAATGAAAAATATAAATGGAGAAAGCAGATTTTTTTTCTTTCATACTCAGTCCATTCTTTTTATTTCTTTTGAACAGGTATTGCTTTTCATCTAGTGCTTCTCAGAAAGTATCATCATTCACCTTGTTAATTTTCACAAATAGCTCAATAGTTCTTTCCCCGGGTTGAAGTTCAATTTTGTATGTCTGCTGTGTTTGCAATTTAGGAATGGCTACGATCACTTGACCACCAACTGGCTTTGAGCTGACAACATCAAAAGAAGACTGTATTTCAAGATGCCACTCCTTGGCTCTGTTATCTAAAGCATAAAGAGAAAAAGAAAAGAATATATATAATATGCTAAGCATTATCCCTGCACATCCTCAGGATTCATTGAAGGTGAGAACAAAGGAACTTCTAAACCAGCAAATGCTCCACAAGGCTGTCATAATCAAACTTTCAGTGGAAATTTTCTTTTAATCTTTAGAGTTTAATCCTTCATTCTGAAGAAGAATAACCAAAATTATATATTTTATATATAGACTTCCACTCTGAAAACATTATAAGTCATAATAACTTTATAAATAGGGCATAAACAGAAAATGACAATTGGAAAGACAACATAAATTTTCTAAGACTAATACACATTTGTTCCTTTTTCTAAAGTAAAGCAAAAATATTGAGGCTTTTAAAGGTATGTAAAAAACTATAAATTTATATGTATTAGAATAAATCAAATGTGAAAAAACAGAGATATATTTTAAATGTAGATAATCTATCCAAGAAATATGTACTGAGAACCTTCTATGTGCCGTGTGCTTTGCTAAGTTTTGGGAAGTAAATGGTGACCAGGATAAACATGGCCCCTACCCTCATGAACTAGAGTCAATGGGAGGTAGACAAGTTCAAAAGTGGGGCAATACCAGGACGGTAGAAATAAAAGGTTGTTCTGAGAACCATACATATGCAGTAAGGAAGCATTCCTAGCACGGGGGGAAGGAAGGCTTTCACCGGAAAGCAGCGTCTGGCTGAAACCAGACTGCCTCAGCTCCATGCAGAGGAGGGGACGAGTGTTCTGGACACGGAGAAGGGTGTGAAGGCCCGAAGGTGAGCAAGAGCAGCACCGTAACAAGGAACTGGGCCGGGACAAAGCTGGGGAGGGGGCTGGCGTGACTGAAGAGGGAAGCAAGGTCCAGACCACACTGGGTCTTTTAGGATCGCTGAGAAGTTTGGCAATCACCCTAGATCAGTGCAGAGTCTTTGAAGATTTCCCATCAAAAAGCATAACATGATCAGATTTGCACTTTACAAGAATCACCAGGGGCCCCCGCACAGGGATACACCAGGACGCATATGGAAGAAGCAGAAAGGCACAAAATCTGTCTGTGCAAAAAGATGTGGAAAGTGACACTTGGAAAATCCAGAAACAGAGAGGAGGCAAAGAAAAGTGGCGGTCAGGACCGGGCGCGGTGGCTCACACCTGTAATCCTAGCTCTCTGGGAGGCCGAGGCGGGCGGATTGTTTGAGCTCAGGAGTTCGAAACCAGCCTGAGCAAGA